GTCCAGCGGGGTCGTCCATCCGGGGTCCCGTCAGATCCACCACCTGCCCCAGAGTGACGATCCCCGCTGTCTGTAGTTTTTCCTGTAGACTCCGTCCTGCCCAGCTGGGAAGGTCCAGACGGGTTCCCCACAGGACCGGTTCCTGCAGGAGCCAGTATATCGAGTCCACCTGGCCCCTCCTCTCCTTCCTCAGCAGTCCCCAGACCTTAAAAACACTTTGATAAAAAGCAGGCAGAGAAGATGTGCTCATGTTCTGTGTGTTCATTAAAAACAAATTAAAATCCTGACCCAGGCTGTTAAAACCCTGCAGAATGCAGCGGGACAGGGGTCTCCACAGAGTGTCCTTCGGCCCCGTTAGCAGCCTCTGGATAAATTGGAGCCTGAAGGCTGCGCCCCTGCTGGCCAGGTGGACCAGGCCCTGGCCCCCTTCCTCTTTTGGTAAAAACAGGACACTCTGTGGGACCCAGTGGAGTCTGTCCCAAATAAAATCAACTAAAAACGACTGAATCTTGGGAAGGAGAGAAGCTTGAGGATCGACACAGGCCAGCCGGTGCCACAGGGAAGATGAGACCAGATTATTTGCGATTAAGGTTCGGCCTCTGTACGACATTTTTGGGAGTAGCCACTTCCACTTCTCCAGCCGACCTTTAACCTGTTCCAGGACATTGTCCCAGTTTTTCTGTATGTAGGTCTCATCTCCTAGGAAGACCCCAAGGTACCGGAGTCCTCCTTTTTTCCACTGTAGGCCCCCGGGCAGCCTGAGCCGGCCCCCCAGCTCCCCTCCAGCCATCAGAGCCTCGCTTTTCCCCCAGTTCACCTTAGCTGAGGAGATAAAACCAAAGTTATGAACAGTGTCAGTTAAAATGTCAATGTCTCTTTGTGTTTTAACTAAAACAATAAGATCATCAGCGTATACAGACAGTTTAAAAGACACAGGGCACCGGGGGAAACTCACACCACTTAGTTTTTCTCTCAGATTGTGAAGCAGAGGCTCGATGGCAACTGAATATAACATCCCAGAGAGAGAGCAGCCCTGCCTCACCCCTCTCTGGATCTCGAATGGTGCACTCAGCCCGCTGTTAATTTTCAGAACACTCGCAATGTCACTGTAGAGAACCCGGACCATGGCTATGAACCCAGGGTTGAACCCAAAGGCAGCCAGAGTCTGCCACAGGTACTGGTGTTCAACCCGGTCAAAAGCCTTTTCCTGATCTATGGAAATAAGACCAGTCTCTATACCCAATGACCTGGAGAGCTCCAAAATGTCTCGAATTAAAGTGACGTTGTCACTGATGAGCCTGCCAGGCACACAGTAGGTCTGGTCAGGGTGGATGATGGACGCCATCACCTCCCTCAGTCTGAGGGTCAGAGCCTTGGACAGGATTTTATAATCCGTGCACAGCAGGGAGACTGGTCTCCAGTTTTTCAGCTCCTGCAGGTCTCCCTTCTTGGGCAGCAGGGTGATGACGGCCCTCCTGCAGCTCAGAGGCAGCCTGCCGGTCCTCAGACTGTCTGTCACGACCTCTAGCAGGTCTGGTCCTATGATGGACCAGAAAGACTTGTAAAAGTCAGCAGGAAGGCCGTCTATGCCTGGAGCTCTGCCGCTCTGCAGGCTCATGGTGGCTGCGTGGAGCTCCTGCAGCGTCACCTCTGCTGCCAGTCTGCTGTTGTCAGCCTTGCTGACCTGAGGGAGACCCGCCAGGAAGTTGCTGTGCACTTCTGGATTATTCGACCACTCACTCTTAAAAAGGTTTCTGTAGAAACCGGCAGCAAACTTCCTGATCTCAGACGAGTCTGAGACTTCGGAGCCGCTACCCGTCCGTAAACAGTGAATGGTCTTCCTTTGTCCATTTTTCCGCTCCAACCCAAAGAAGAAGCGAGATGGGGCGTCCATCTGTGTGATGTTCATGAAACGAGACCTGACCAGAGCCCCCTGTGCTGAGACGCCTAGCAGGTTGGCTAATGCCGACTTTTTGGACTTGAGGGAGTCTAAAAGCCCTCGATTTGCTGTAGAGTCTGCAGTAGTCTGCAGCTCTACCACCTGTGACTCCAGGTCTTTAATGGACCGAGCTAAGTCTGTAGTGACACCGCGAGTGAACTGCTGGCTGAGCTGTTTTATCTGGGCTTTCCCAAAATCCCACCACTGTTGTATGTTAGTGAAGGCAGGCCTGCTCTCTCTGTGGGATTCCCAAAAAAACCTAAAAGCAGTTCTAAAAGCCTGGTCAGATAAAAGGGCTGTGTTAAAATGCCAATAGGCGCTCTTTAAACGAATGTTTTTAATAAAAACACGACAGGAGACTAAAAAATGATCCGTAAAACCAACTGGCAGCATTAAACACCTTTTAAAAATGTTTAAATGGTGTTTAAAAGAGTAAAAACGGTCCAGTCTGGCTAGAGTTAAAACCCCCTCCCTACTGTGACTCCAGGTGAACTGTCTTTGCTGACTGTTAAAAACCCTCCACACATCACTCAGCTCCTGACTCTCTGTCAGCCGCCGAAG